ATGGTACAACCTTGCTTTTTTGATCAATAGTTAGTTATCCAAATTAAGTCAGTCCTAATTCTTAATTATACTGAAAGCTCACTTAATTATCCACTCTTCATTTATCACAGCCAGCTGAGCAAATGCCTCACTTCCACTTGCCCCAAAGTATCGTTTCTCTTTCACCTTGCTGCGTGCCTCCTCATTCATTTTCCACATCTCTCTCTTCTTCAGTCTTGCCTCTGCTGGCAGACTTGTACTTCCCTGATTTTATGCATTGGTCCTTTTTACTAACTCAGTTACATGACTGTTTGAAGCCTTTCCATGACCACTGACTAAATACAGATTGATTGATTGATTTAAGAGACAGTTTTTAAAGGCATTACCAAAAAGATACGTGAAATAAAGCAAGTTTGATGAGCAGGCTCCTTAGGAATGAATAACAAACTCCACCGGCTTCTCTTCTTCTCCACAGACATTTTCTTTCCTATTATTTTCCTTCCCTTTCTATTTTCTATCTGCTGTAGTCTGCGTTTGTTAGCATGCTCTCCTTCGAATTTACAGATTTTGGAAACTTGCGTTACTTAAGAACTAATACATATGTTTAAGTAAATCTGAGTCATAGCAGGGAACACAGGAGACAGGGTACATAATATTACAATATTAAAACAGTTTCAAAGCCTCTTCACTGCTCCTGGCCCAAAGAGTAGCTCCAAAATCTAGGCTCAAGCATGGTGGATCTATCACTTTATTATTATTTTTTTTTTTACTGGTAATGTTTCTCTATCCAACTTCCCTTAAAAATTAAAGTACCTTAGTTCAAAATTTGAAAAGGAATAAAAAATTTTGAAGATCACATCTGCACATATATTTAACATTCATAGTTTTAGAATACAAGAATCCTTTGGAGCTTTGTGCAGTGTTGAAGACCTTAAAATAGTTTTCATGTGTTCTCCTAAAGTTCATTTTGTCCTATCCCAGTATATACAGTTTCTGGATGCTACATAGCTGCTATCTGCTTCAACCACAGTGACAGCTTTTCAGTGCCTCTTACTGCAACGTGCTTTGATCCCAGAGGGACCAGGGATCCTCTCTGCTCTTCTAGTTCTAGCTTAAAACATATATCTGAGTTTATCTCTAAACAAAGTCCAGCCATTTGAATGTCAGTCCTGAAAAATGAAAAAAAAAAAATCAGGGCAACATATATTGTTCCATAGTAATCACTCACCTTGCTGAGAGAGCTTTGTATTTTTGCTGTGCAGCACGATAGGGAGGGTTACCTAAACGTTCAAAATCAACTCCCTTTTGGCTGTAAGTTTCCAAACTTGTATACAAGATTAAAAAAAAAAAAAAAACCTAAAAAAGCCCTTCCAAAACCAAAAAGCACTCAGTAGCAATCGCAAAAAATTATTTGTTCTGACACTACCTCTCACATAGCCAGCGTTACTGCAAAGGGAGACACTACCAAGTGCATGGTTCTAACAGATTGCCCAGAAAGGCTGAGGAGTCTCCTTCCTTGGAGATATTCAAAAGCCATCTGGACACAATTCTGGGTAATGTGCTCTAGGTGACCCTGCTTTAGCAGGGGGTTTGGAGTAGATGATCTCCAGAGGTCCCTTCCAACCTCCGCCATTCTGTGATTCTGTGAAGCCATAGCACAACAGTACTCAGAAAGACTGTTTTTTTTCATTGCATTTCCTTTCCCTGGCCATAACATTTATTTATATAGATGATAGGTACCAAGGTCATATTATAAAACTGAGGCCCTCATATATTAAGTTTTTGTCCTGATCTGATTGGTAAGCAGCCATCCATACCAAAATAAACTTCTAATTTAGAAAGGATAAACCAGAATGAGCTAAAATTTGCCTTACCTGAAGTGTGTCAGAAACAAAGAGTTGAATACGCTTGCTGGAACTTGTAGGTAGATACATAACAATGATGGGAGGCAACACAAAGCTGAACATTATTGCGTATTTTTGGAACAGCACAATGCACTTTAAACACCTGGAGAAGGAGAAAGCACTCTAAACTAATTGTATATGCTTTGTACCACACTTTATATAAAACTGTTCCTTAATTGTGAGATCTCTGAAAAAGAATTAGTGTCTAGAAATTACTCAGGGCAACAGAACCGAAATATTGACTGAAATCTGCAGAGATACAGGAAAACTCTGCACATTTTTAGGAAAAATGTACATAAAGAGATGACCCTACTAAGCTCACTCGGACCAGACATACATTTCTTCTTTGGGAAGAATCAAGCCTCTCAGGCATGTTGTGACTGTACTCTGTATGTCCATGGACACAGCTTGGAAACAGTGGCAGACCATGAACTATGGAAAAAGAAGAACAGAATGGCTTGAACCTGAAACACAGAACTCAGATATCAGCTCAGAAAAGGCCTCATTTGCCCACCACTGTGAGAAAAATGACATCCTGGGCTCTTTTGACTCAGAGACCAGCACGGGTATGGAAAAAGTTTTTGCTTTTGCACTCTATACTAGCGATCTTAAAATACTGTAATCAATTACACTATTAAAAACTGCCTAGTTCTGAGCAGTCTGTACTATGTTGCCGTAACATCATATTATGTATTTCTGGACATGTTTCTCCCCAAGGGGTAAACATCTTTTTCAAACTGGTTGAAAGAGCCAGCACGAGAAACACTGAGGCTGAAGCCAGGGCTTGCTCTTGGAGTAGAAGAGCTAGAGGGAGGCCTATTTTCTTGCTTCAAAAGGGATTCATTTCCTGGGAAACTGTATAAAGGTCAGAAGCACATTATGCTCTCTGTGATTGTGAAAAGGCATGTGGACACTGATGTTACATAAATATTTACAACGACTATTACTAACCAAACCTGTTTCCAGCCCCTACTCCTCCCAAGTTAAAAAAAGGATAATAGGAAAGAATTGAGTAGTGAAGAATAACAACAGTGAAAGACTAGCCTGAAAACACTAATGGAAATGGCACACTTATCTGAACAGGAAGAGACATTACCCACCCCCTAAAGAAAAAAAAAAAATAAAGGAGCATCTGTAATTTTCCAATGCAGATTATGGAAGACTGCAGGTCAGCTGTGACAAGAACGATAACAGCACCACGCTTTTGTTTTCTTCATTTTACCCTTGAGCAGATAACCTTTCATATTTTGGTAGAGGAGGCACATTGGTGATGATGTTTTTGTGATGTTGCAAAACTCCGTTTTCTTCTCATCCCTCTGGGAACAAATTCATCCATGTCATTTAACCACAGCACAGCTTTATAAAGAACACACTGGCTAAAGGCACAGCTCTTTGTAGGGACTCAGATACACAAATATCTATCCTCTGTATCAAAAGCTAGCTGATGAACTGTCAATAAAAGGGTATTCATAAATGACAGCATGCTAACGTAGTGTCAGAGAACCAGACAGAGATAGTATTTGGCCCACTGTTAGTTCACATTTACATAGGTGATCTAGGACCCAAGCAGGCAAACTGCAGCTCTGGAGTTACACATGGCCTGCAAGCTGTTCAGATATGCCCCTGTTGGACAAGAGTTAGTGGCAGCATTATGCTGGTGGCAAGCTGCTGGGTAATACAACACCACAGCTGCAGAAGGAAGTGAATCAGCAAGGTTCACTGGGGCAGATACTGAGTCACCTTGAGACCCGGCAGTATGCTTGGGTTTGTGGCTGAACCCTGACATATCTTGGAAGCTCTGAGATCTATGAAGAATTACTGTTTTTTCCTTTTTCAGGACTACTCCTGCAGTTCCCCTTCCTTTCAGCTCTCAGAAAGCTGTAGTATCTGTCTTAATGCATGCAACTTCTGATTGCACTTCCGTGGGAGAGGCAGCTCTCTAAGGCACTTGTGAAAACCTCACCCACAAGCTACAACTGTTCAGGAGTCATGAAGGAGCAGATGAGATCCATAAAAAGAGACGTTTAAATGGAATAGAAGAAAGTGTTCTTAGGCTAAGTTTTGTTATGGAAGAATAGAGACAGTAGAAACCAGAGACTGTAACATTTTAAGTTAATCTTGAAATAGATTTGGCATAGTCATTCCCATCCTTTGACAGCAGAAACTCCTACTGTCCTTTGGGCAAATGGTTTTATGATGCAGCTCTATTTAGTGAGTTTTGAACCAAGGATTAGAAAACACACTTTGGTTTTATTGTAGGCCAGTCCATTATGAACATTAGTAAAAACTTCATTGTGTATACATCAGTGAAAATAAACAAGACAAAACACAGGAGAAACAGAAAAGCTTTTGTTAAATGTTGCTAGAGAATAGCCCAGTGTTCAAAAAATTTAAGTGTATTTATTTTCCATCATTTTCCCAACTATAACCTGAGATTTCCACTACCTCCCTTTCTCATCTCTGCTGCCCATTGAAACAGTGCTTGAGAGAACACTTGTTTCTATAGTCAGCAAAGGCTGATGTGCAGGCAGACTAAAACTGATGTAACAGATTCCTTTCCTGCAGTTTCTTCTGTAATCACTTCCACTATATACCAACACTCTGACTGGACTATTTGGAAATATCTTTTTCATGACACACGTTCCAGAACCTGTGTTCCTGGACACTGCAAACATGTCACCGTGTCACTCACCGCATTTCTGGGAATCCAGCAATCTATATGTCTAATTTCTCAGCCCCGTACTCCAAACGCCTGCCTTCTCTTTTCGCCAGTGTCCACTTGGAATCTCAGTCCAATGCAGAAGTTGATGGCTCACCCAAATGCTTCGTTCTAGTTTACTGCTATGGTCAAGTTTTCAAAGTTAATGCTCTGGGATGCAAGTAGCACAATAGGAATAAAAAAAAAAATCAGAAGATTAGAAATGGATATATTTTTGGCAGCAGGAA